GCAAGTTCTGTATCCCGCAGCGCAAAGCTACCAACCCTCTCCCACCCTCATCCTTCTCAGTGTACAAAAAGTTTTGCTTTTATCCACACAAGAGATTAGAACTCAGAATTCAAAGTTGCATCCCTTTCAGATACAGAAAACCTGTTCAACACTAGAGAACTTAATCTTGTCTTTTCTGAATCAGGCGTAATTCAGGTAAATACACCACAGTTGAGGAAAAGGTATCCAGAAGTTATTTTTATGAACTGGTAAGCAGCCATCTGTCCACAAACAATCACAGCCTGCCCCCAAGACAAGGCTCCTTTATGGCTGAACTTGCTTGGCATCATGCCCTTTGTTTGCTGACTGGTGAATTATGGCTCACGAATTCACCCCATGTTCTTTCTGCCTTCCCCGTACTGCTTGTGCCTGTTGTTTTATCTGTTTGACCAAAAAGAAGAAACAACAAAAAAAAAAGAAATGGTTGTGCTTTGGCTTATAGTAGATCCTCATTTTCCTTATGAACTAAATATTCTTTTTTATTTGTTTTGACCAGAAACCATACCAGGACCTTCCCCATTAGCTTACTGAAAATCTTGCCCCTGAACTCTGAGGACACGACAAACCATTTTGCATATACATCTGCCTTCCAAGTTTGAAAGCGTCAAAAGCAGTAGTCCCTGATTAAAAAAAGAAGTGCAGTCATACATAAGTCAGCTATGATGAATGTTCTTTTCCTATAAACTCAAAGAGATTTTATCTGTGTTGAGATGTGAAGTAGGCAAGTATTATGAAAGCTCTAGTACCTGGAGAGGTATCACCAAAGTTCCTTCTTAATGAAGCTTCCTCTCACTTTTCACTGGAATCGTGTACTACAAGATTATCTTATGACCTAGAAAATCACCATATTTTACCTCTTGCTCAGAGATAACTGCACCTAGGATGTTCAGTATACACGAGTCCAAATGCACAATGCATAAAATGTGTTATTCTCATGCAAAGAAATAATCCACAATATCATCACCACCCACAAAAAAAAAAAACCAAACACCAAAGCTTTTTGAACAGTAGTATCATATGTCAGACCACTGAGCCTGTTCTGGCCTTTGCGAGTTGTTGGGAAGGTTGACTCTGGACGGTGATAAAAACTAACTGTAAAACATATAAATCCAGTTTTGGGGCTCCCTTATAAATTTGTACAGTTCCTTGTAAAAAGATTACATAAAATGAAGAAATGAATGAGATGCAAACAAGGAAACTCTGCCATGCTAACATTAGTCACTTCTCAAACATTTTTCAAGGCACAATATAGTTGGAAGTGGCCAGGATGAAACTCACTTTCAAATTGGAAAAAAAAAAAAAGTCATCAAATGTAATGGCAAACACTGACATCAGTAGCATGTTATACTAACTGCTATTGTATCAGCATTTAATTAATTTTGTAAACCAGTTTAGCTTCAGTATTTAAAAGGTCAGTCTCCAAAATGCACACAAGCTAAAACTGAAAGGCAAGATCCACCACAGTTACATGATACTTAGGATGTACATAATACGATGCTCTGTATAACAGGACACAAATGTAAATAGAGCCACGGATCTATGGAAAAGGTTTCTGCCACCCAGCCTTGAGAAGAAAATTCATTAGTTTGCACTGACAGTAAGCTCTTGTTCAACACATGGCACAAAAGCCAGTAGCAAACATAGCAACTCTGAGACTTAAGAACACTCAGGAAGTAATCCCCAAAGCGAGGGGGGAGAAATAGTTGGTTTCGCTACCTCGTGTTATTTGAGAAAAGCCAGGTAGGTTTGCTACAAGAGCCTTTCGCTCATTTGTTGACTTAGAAATACATGAATGACTATCTTTGTCTTTTCTGGTTTTCAAAAATGTCTCCTGGAGAGTCACAGACTCATCATTATTAATTGAAGAAAACCTGAGACAAAAGTGTTTTCTTCCAAGTACGTCCTAGACCTTCAAGCTCCATAAACACCTTAAGAAAAATGAGGGCAGAAAGTCAAACAGTCCTACAAGAAACGTACGTATTTCCAATTTACAGGAACAAAAATCTCTCTTCAGACTTACACTTAGAAATAATGCATATTTTCCTACAAGAGGCCTAATAGAAAAGGCTTCAAAAGATTAACTTGATCACAAGTAGTATTACCACAAAAGTTTGATGCTGGATGAGGCCAAGCACAGATCATTTTTTCCTCAGTTTTTTATTAAACAAGACCAGGAAAAAAAGCCCTAAAATAATTAGTAGTAAGCATGAAGAAGTGAAGGGAAAACTAAGAAATTATAACATAACTTGATTTTTTCCATTTAGTGTCTTAACACGATTTGCATCCTATTTCTAAGGTAAAGGGAGAACACTATGCTCACTTATCTACAGAAGTGAGGAGGGATGGCCTCATGGTTAAGACAGAGGACTAAGAGCCAGTGAGTAAGGTTCCAGGGAGTCCTGGGACTCCTGCTCTCCTAACTTTGAGCACAGCCACTCAACAGCCTTACACAAAAGCTTTCGTACCTACGGAGCAGAGGTAATACTCTCCAGAAGGGATGTGAACATATATACTGCATCCGGAAGACAGGGTGAAGTCTGTGAAGCATTACATAAATGTACTCATCAGCATAGAGGCATTGCACCTCATAGTTTGTGGTGAGTTGTACAGAAAAACACAAAAGGCCACTGAGTACAGTGATACCTCACCAGACCAACCATCAGTTACTCTCCTTCCTCCCTACCCCTGGAAGAGATGTAATCCACCATTAAGGAACTGCTGTGTTTTCTCTGAAGATGCACCTTCCACTTCGCACTCAGCTTCCTGCTTTTTTTGTTTTACTGGGGGGAAAAAAAAAAACGAGTATTTGAACTTCAGGGCTTTACATTGACATCACGCTTCCAACTCCCCTGAGCGCCCAGCTAGTTCAACGGGTGAGCCCGCCGGGGGTAGGGGCAGGACGGCGCTGCCCCAGCCGGGGTCGACTGCTCGGCCCCGGACCCCGCTCCCCGCAGCGCTTCTGCCTCTCGGGGAAAGCGCCCGCTGCTCCTGGGAAACTGCCCGGCTCTCCGCGGCGTGCCCTAGCTCCGGCACAGCCGGGGATTTAA